TGAATTCACTCTTCGTTACGATCACGCGAATGAAACCTTGACGGTCGTCATCATTAAAGCACAGGTATGTAGCGTCTAAATCCGATTATGCATAGAAGAAAAGTTCGTGACCTTTGAGATGCCCTTCTTTCTTAGATTTTCATTATGCCCTTTTTTCACGAAGTCGCCGATGCCGACAGTGCCTTATTTTACAATCATAGTCGATGGCAGGTATATAACAAGCATAGTTCATAATCTCGTTTTACGTTGAAACAGAATTGAACAGAAGTAGAAACACTACTCTCTTAACCTCAGAAGGAAGAAAGGCGACTGGTCTGAGTGGAGCTCGAACCGGAGCTCGACCCAACCTCTCAGTTCTAACTCAAACACTCTAACGACTGAGCAAATCTGGTCTGAAACATGTGCTAAATTACTTTCTTTAGTAGATTAATGATTTATAAGAAGCAATGAATGGGAAGTGAAAGGTGACAGACAGCTGTGAAAAGGATGAACGATTACAGGCATCATAAATGCAAATAGAAGGATCTATTAAACAATGAGATAAACCACATGACATTCTATGATATAGCTTATATTTTTTCAATAGTTTCAAGGAACATATCCGCAATTTCTGGATCAAATAGGCAGTTCTGCAAAGTTTCTCAGCTTCGATAGTTTCTAATTTGTTTGACACGTCAGATTTCTTCGGTCGTCATTCATCTTCATTATTACTTGATAAATGACGTTCCCGTGAACGGTTATGCTGATGATGACCAACTCATTTTACCGGGCGATTTCTGTCTCGAAGAACGATGATAATTTTATTGTTAATATTAATGATATTTTGATCTTATTGTGAACCCGTAAGAAAAATCTGCCATGATGTACAGAAGTGAATATTTCTCAGTCCAATGGCCTAAACTTGAGTACGATTCAAATTATTTTTATCCGTACTAAAGCTTCTTGATCATACTCATACAGTATTCTTGAACGTCTTTTAGTGTTCAAGTGTAATCTGAAAGTCTGGATAGATACAGCATTTTTATGTACCGTATTTTACCATCGGTAACGCGCGCGCTATCGGAACCAAAAATTCCAGTCAACGTAAAAAACAAGGTTCCGCGTTATGCAACGAAAAACGAAAAAATTTTGGTCAAAACTCGAGGATGAACGAATACACAAATTGTTTTTTTTCATAAATCTAAAAGCTAATGGTGGGTAAGCTTTAAAATGTTCCATTTTTTCCTCTTCTGCAGCCACTATTGCCCTCAACAAAAGAGTGGTTGTTGACCCCTCATGTCCTTTCGATCCCACTTCTCTTTTGAGAAGTGATTTTTCGAGCTCTGGCCAGAAGCATCTCCTCTACCGCATTGCAGGTTTCTTCTGGTGTAAATGTTTTAGGACTGCTTCTTCTTTCCTCCTTACCGTACATTGGACTCTCCAAGATTAAATTTCCAGGCTGCCTCACGATTCCCCTTTGCCTTCGTGAAACTGACAGCTTACAGCCTAAATCTGTAGGCTCACAGAGACTAGAATCCTCCAATCACCGGCGGTTGCGAACCATCTCGGAAGCACACTGTGTCGATCACATATCCAATATCGATACTCGTGCTAAATGCAATAAAATGTGCCTCTTCACTGATCCTAACTACAGTAACTACTTTGGCTAAAAAGTCTACCAGAAGAAATCCCCTCCTTCACACCGAACGATTACCGGATAATTCGATGACACCGGCTAGAGGCGGACAAATTAAGTTCTGGTAGGACAATGACAGCAATGTGTGGGGATAAACGGCGAAGTTACCTGCTGATTCTAGCGGTGGATATCGAGTGGGATTAATTGACTCGAAAGAAGCAGTCCGGGAAGTCGTGGACCGGCTAAATCGGCTACGCGTGATAGTAATAATAACTATAATATGTCGGTACGGACCGGTTATCACCTTGAACAGTAGCACGTACATCAGTAGAATATTCCATTAAATCAATATCCGTTATTCCTTGGAGAACAGACAACGAATAAGGTAAAAGATTACATGCCATTGGGAATTGCGTTGGAAAAAATTCTCCGTAGCCCATACTGTAGAACAGCTTTACTGAAAACAGCTTTACTGACGGTCGGTAGCGACCTCTGAAACGGTCAGCTCACGAAACAATAACAGTTGTAAAAGACAGAATATGCCACCTTTTTAGCAAACTTCTGACTTGTATGAAGATATGAATCACTTCTTGTTTGTTATTTAAGCGCTGAATGCATCATAGGCAACATCTAAATATGGTGAATATCTAAAATTCGATGACCCCTGCTCCAAAATGCCATCTTTTAATAAACTTAATTTGCCTGAATTTTGCAACTTGCTTCCGCCATCGTTCGTCTGCCTTCTAATTTTATGTTCTGTCAAAAGGAAGAATTTCTTTTCTTTAGAACCTGCCAGCTATGGATTCGAATGGCTTTTCTGATCCGTACGTCAAGCTGCATCTGATTCCAGGAGCCCGCAAGGTAAATGCAGAAGTGTTGATTTAACCCCTCATAAAGACTGATGCTTTTAGTCGACCAAGCTGCGCACTTCTACTGTCTACAGATGCTTGAACCCGGTCTGGAACGAACGACTGGTATACTATGGCATCACGGACGAGGACATCGCCAGGAAAATGCTGCGATTAGCGGTTTACGATGAGGACAAGATTGGAGCAGATTTTCTCGGGGAGACGAGAGTGCCTTTGAAGCGACTTACGCCAAACGAGGAAAAATGCTTCAACGTGTACTTAGAGAAACAAATGCCGGTACTTCACTTACAGCCTGCTATGAGTGCTAATAGAAACGATAAAACTTCGTGTAAATTGACATGCGACAAACACAAATTGATGTATACTTGGTGTAACACGTTTTCTTGTAGGTGGACAAAGATCAGGATTCAATCAGCGAGCGCGGAAAAATATTGCTGTCACTTTTGTACGATATCCAATCCAAAACACTTCACGTGACCGTGGTACGATGTGCGGAGCTAATCGGTTTAGACACTTCTGGCTACTCTGATCCGTACGTGAAAGTGTAAGTCGTTGTTTCATTAGCCATTCTGCCAAAATGTGCCTTTTGTTTTTCGAAATCCAAGCTTAACGTCGCCGTGTTTGTCAGGGGCCCACTGACTACAGTATGGATCGCATAGCAGGGCGAAGTATGGTTGGTTGTAGATGGCTGGATATTTTCACCATTTCTGTTATCCGACTTATCCTCGTTGTGTATACGCCATGAACGTAACTCGACGTCCTTCCAATATTCTGCCTCCGCGTATCGTTCCTACTTCGTGTCTAGTAATGTAACCATAGGATCGTTCCAATGCATTCGTAAACTACATGTAGTCCAGCGGATCTCAGTTCGTAATTCCCAACAATTAACGTCGACGTAAAGGCTTATCACGAACGTGAACGGCCCATCGTTCATTTAAGACTCAACTGCTGGCGAAATGAGAGAGCTCCTTTGACACTGAGGCAAATCTGTCCAGGGAAAAGCACTTTCTTTACAGTTGGCGAGGAGAGGTTTGGAACCAACAACCTCACTGCCGTCAAAAGAATGGTGAGGTCATTTAATGGTGTCATATATTCTCTGACGAGACCTTAACTAGCATGACAAAAGTATCGACAGCAGCAGCGATGAATAACAATAGAAAGTGGAGAGTAAAGAATATTACTCAACTGTGATGGATAAAGGAAACTTCTTGACAGCTCGCACGTTGATCTCTCGTAAATTTCAGTTCTGGGCATCGTTCGCGTCCGTTTCGTTTTATGGAACATATAATGCTAGACTGATCGTCGATTCTACCTCATCATGTGCGAGTGGGTTATTTTAACGACTGTGCCTGTAGCTATGCGAAACGTTCCCCCTATAATCTTCGCTTTCTTTCCCAACAAAGTATTGGCTGATCTTTTTATTTTGAAACAACCTAAGACGATCGACTGATTAGGTTTGAACTCAAGGTCTTCATGCCCTCAGCGCACGCTCTACCGACTGAGCAATCCATCATTTACTCACACAAGTTTCATATTTTGAATGTTTGTCAGAAGCGAAGATAACATTTGTCATAGGCACGTCGGAAGGTATATCTTTAAACGTGAGATGGTTATTTCAAAAGATTACTCGTGCATTACATATATGTCTGGATGTGGTGCGGGAGCCCGCTGAATAATATTTCCTTGTTAGTTTTTCATACCGGATTGAAGCGACGTAAGCGCCGTCCCCTTGCTTTTAGTCGCCTGAGGGACCATTTATGCAGACTACGGCTCCATGGATGCAGAACCGACCAAGAACTTGTTCAGACACCACTACGATCCGTAGGCATATGTATATGCAAAAATATAACCTGATCTGCTGGGTTTACTAGCATGCTGCTAGTTATGGATACCGTTGCTTAGAGCTATAATATTTCATTCGTCTGTTTTGTAAAAGAGCAAAATTAACACAAAGACGTTGTCATGGCCTACCCTAGCATCCTAACTAGCAGGTGATTTTCTTAACCGTCTCAAACCGTTGTCTGCTTCTAAAATCTTCTTATGAAGGTTATGTTTCAGCTTCTACTTCTTTAGGATTCTCCTGCCTGACAGCGGATCGAGCAAATTTCGCTACAGGACTAAGGCGAAGAAGCGAACTTTGAACCCGGAGTTCAATACTGTGTTCAAGTTTCCGTTCTCGCAGGAAGACTTTTATCGAAAATGCTTGAATTTCGAAGTCTGGGATAAAGACGTCGGCAAACACGACGACTTTATAGGTGAAAGTGTTCTCCGTTAGAAAAATCTCACCTGTGCTTCAGTGCTTCACTTTCAGGCTCTGTTCAACTGAGCTTTGCCGCCAAGGGCGACGGATTACGACAGTGGTCGGATTGCGCCAAGAATCCAAACACTGTATTTCAACATTGGCACAAATTGACCGTAGAACAGCGCAAATCCTCTTCACAGGCAGTGTAACGCCTCGAAGATTTCACCAATCACCGGTTGAATGATTTTACCGTCATGATTTAACTGCGCTTTATATGCAAATCATCGTTACATAGCACTTTGTATGGAATGGATTACTATCTGAACTAAGGATGCTGGCGTACTGAATAACGCCTACTGTAATTTTTACTGATTTGTAAATATTGTGACAGATTCTTTACAGCTTTTGTTTTAATCAGGTTGCTTGTAATAATCGTTCATATAAAGCTTTCTGCTAACTAGTCATCCATCTTGGAGATGGCAGCGAATCAAATCTTTCACAGGTTTGTTTATTAAAACTTGTGTCCACCGAAAGTTTCATAATTTAATAGCCCTTTTTGCTATTTCAGAGTGAACAGGGGCTAACACGAGATCACGTTTGACAGATTTATAGAAATTTGACGCCATCTACCTGATTTATCTCATTTTTTGTTTTTAAAATTTATGAAATGAATAACAGAACTTTTGGCCAATGCTAAATGAACCGCGTTTCGACAAGCGACTTTTAGCGTTCAGCACCAATCCTTAATTTATTTTCTGATGATAACTCTTTCTGCATATCTGAGGATTGCAACCTCACTGATGCCAACAGAATTAACTGTTGGATCTTTAATGACTTTAGAAAAGCTGTTCCCGTGTTTGGGGCTAAGTTCCTTTCAGGTCGAAACTTTCCGTTTAAGTCTAGCAGAGTAGCTGATAGCCAGAGTACGAAGCCTAGCAACACGTAGAAGTAAATGGGCAGCATTTTTCTGATCCTGATGACCTGTTAAGATCTGACGTTCGGCCAGCCAGATGATGATAACGATGGATCGAGTAGGGTCAAAGGTCTCTGATACAGAACTCCAGAGAAAAAACG